ATCTGTGCACCGTGTTGCAGGGGGATCTGTTTGTGGTTCCTGCTGTGTCGATATTTGCCAGAACAAGCTTCTGCATTTGTGTTGGGAGTCTTGGAAGAGTGCGTTGATTGGACAGCTTTCTGAGTACAACGGGCCCCTATACCATGCGCTACAAGAGATCTGTGCACCGATTTGCAGGGGGATCTGTTTGTGGTTCCTGCCGTGTCAATATTGGCCAGAACAATCTTCTGCATTATTTGTCTTGGGAAGTCTCGGAAGAGCGCGGTGATTGCAAAGTTTGCGGTCATTGAAGACATTTGATGTATGGGAAATGATTGATGCTCGCCAATCGACAATGTCCTTGAAACAATTTTCTTCAAATTCGATTTGCTTTCAGTGACACCAATCAATGGCACAAACTGACCAACAGTGGAGGATGAATTAGAAGAAAATGGTGATTGAGAAAGGGACTGGATGCAGAGGGATCTTTTGACTAACTTATCGAACTTGATTTTCTCATGATGTTAACGTGCCGCGCCATCCATTTTTGAGCACTCTTTTGATGTGCAGTGACACCAATGAACCGGGCACACTGATGTGCTGTGGACAATTCAAGCTGCTGAAATGTGTGACTTGATTTCCTCATGGTGTTAACGTGCCGTGCCATCCATTCTTGAGCACTCTATTGACGTGCAGTGACACCAATCAACCGGGCACACTGATGTGCTGTGGACAATTCAAGTTGCTGAAATGTGTGACTTGATTTACTCATGATGTTAACGTGCTGCGCCGTCCAGTTTTGAGCACTCTTTTGATGTGCAGTGACACCAATCAACCGGGCACACTGATGTGCTGTGGACAATTCAAGCTGCTGAAATGTGTGACTTGATTTCCTCATGATGTTAACGTGCCGCGCCATCCATTTTTGAGCACTCTTTTGATGTGCAGTGACTCCAATCAACCGGGCACACTGATGTGCTGTGGACAATTCAAGTTGCTGAAATGTGTGACTTGATTTTCTCATGATGTTAACGTGCCGCGCCATCCATTTTTGAGCACTCTTTTGATGTGCAGTGACACCAATCAACCGGGCACACTGATGTGCTGTGGACAATTCAAGTTGCTGAAATGCGTGACTTGATTTTCTCATGATGTTAACGTGCCGCGCCATCCATTTTTGAGCACTCTTTTGATGTGCAGTGACACCAATGAACCGGGCACACTGATGTGCTGTGGACAATTCAAGCTGCTGAAATGTGTGCTTGATTTCCTCATGATGTTAACGTGCCGCGCCGTCCATTTTTGAGCACTCTTTTGATGTGCAGTGACACCAATCAACCGGGCACACTGATGTGCTGTGGCCAATTCAAGCTGCTGAAATGTGTGACTTGATTTCCTCATGATGTTAACGTGCCGCGCCATCCATTTTTGAGCACTCTTTTGATGTGCAGTGACACCAATCAACCGGGCACACTGATGTGCTGTGGACAATTCAAGTTGCTGAAATGTGTGACTTGATTTTCTCATGATGTTAACGTGCCGTGCCATCCATTTTTGAGCACTCTTTTGATGTGCAGTGACACCAATCAACCGGGCACACTGATGTGCTGTGGACAATTCAAGTTGCTGAAGGCTGAAGGGTGTTGGAAAAGGGGAAGTTGAAATTTAGCGCCAGTTGCGCGAGTGGTGTGTGGTGACTGTTCTGATGCTTGTCACCATCACAGCCTACCAATCTGCATCACACCATTGAGTTTTTCCATGGAACTTGGTTGTTGAGGCCTCTGGCGCCATTGAATGGGGGAACGCTGTCATTAGCTTTAGTTAACGAGCACGGCCATGTACCCACAAAATGCTGGGGGCAGGCTTTGCTTCTACGGATCCTTGAATCCCTTTCTGAGCACGGTGTGAATCTTAGATCGCTGTGCAATCATTTTTCACACTCCGGCTGTTCCAAGCCCAGGATTACATGCTCCAGAGTTCATCGCAGCGTTATATGACTCTGTCCGATTTGCAGAAGCTGTAAATGAGGCCCAACGCCAGGGTCATGTTTTTTTTTTCAGTGATTAGACAACAGTTGATTCGTCGAAGATCGAACTTGGAAAATGTGACCAGATTTCCTGGCTGACAACAGAACATTGTCGCAGGTGCGCCTTGAACGTGGATCAGAGTTCATCATCAAGTACGACAATGTCTTGAGTGGAGTAGAGGCTGGAAGCAGGATTCGCTGCTTTCTTGAAATCAAGAGCTTAAGACTGGCCTGGCTTGGCTATGTCAAGATTTTCAGGCCATCCGGCGGAATGGCGATCCCTTTCGTGGTGGTATCAACTTTGATGTTCCATGCTTGCATTTACTTGTATTGTATCTAACAGTTTGACAGAAGCAGCAGCAGCAGAGTAGTTGAACGTAATTCTCTTATCGGGAATCCAGATCTAGCATGATCTAAGTAACATAATGTCGTCACTTCTTTGATTCCTTCAGATTGTTTGTTCCCCACACTATCCGAGGACGTGAATGAGCTTGGCTTAGAAGGGCGTGCAGACCTCAGTTGGAGTTGGTGGTTTCAACCATATTTTTTTTGAATTTCCAAGCTGAGACAAGGGGTGATGATCCATGATGATCCCAGCTGACGCGCATATTCACAGGGTTAAAGCCAGCAACAAGAACGAGCCATATTATATGTGTATATATACATATATAATATGTATATTGATTGACAATGATAAGCATGTAGATGAGATAGGAATGAATCCTATTGAACTGGCGCCTCATCCAGCAAGCAACTCCTCCCGTTTCTGGACGTGTTGAATCGCAAGGGTGGTGGCAGAAACGCTGAACGCTCTTTGCCAAGGCATCGATGAAATGTCGAAAACCTACCGAGAGGCACAGAATTCCATCTTTCCATTTGAACATTACTGTGCTCGCTGGAAAGCTTGATGCTTTTCAAAGCTTTGCGTTCGCAAGGCTCCATCTGTATGGGTCGTGCTGGACCTTGTGTCGTATACTTAGCGGCAAGTGCAGCCGAAGGTGAAACCGGATGACTTGCGAGGGTTGCAGTGTCTGAGGTCCAATTTTCAGCCAGTTTTCGTCTTCAAAGTTTGGATCTTCTTGTTGGCCTGGTACACCTCCATGTCGCAGGACTGGACATGAAGGATTGTAGCAGCTTGAAGAAAGACGCCTTCTCACCATTTTCACGCCATCTTCTCCAGGACAATAGAAATGGCTATCTTTGGTTTCCGACTTTCAAGCGCGCTAGAACCTCAGATTTAGCATGGTCGTTGCACGTTTGGGTTGGCAAAATGGATTAAACTGATCGCAAGACTCAAGCATCTCACCACATCGCGCTATCGAACTACTCATAGCTAGTCATAGCTACTCAAAACTCATAATGCTATTCTAGTTCCCATAGTTCCCATAGTTCCCATAGTTCCCATAGTTCCCATAGTTCCTGGATAGGCTCTGTTTGCTGTCCTCTTTTTGAGGCCAACACCTTGCAGTACCTTGTGCTGGGCGAATCGATCGGATCTGCAGTGAGTATCTAAGTGATCTACGTGATCTATGTGATCTACGTGCTGTGATGAGAATGCCCAGAATGCCAACATCTTTGGGTCAACCAGCACGTCTCTTTGCTGATGCTTTTTGTATCTCAATGCATACTGCAGCCTTTCTGCCTGGTTTCAGACTTCAGGCGCTAGACACTCTCGTCATTTTTCACACCCTGGGGCAGTGGCGAAGCGCTCAATCGGTTTTTGCAGTGTGCAGCCGGATTTTGGACAGTCTGGCGAAATTCGATCCAAAGTGTCAAGAATCTGAGCGATGCCTCTTGATTCTCTTGATCACCTCTCCAAGTCAGATTCAGCATGTGCCACTACGCCTGAGACAGAGGCGTTTTGGCAGCTTTTTTTCACCCTATCGCAAGGCAGGCATTGTGGTTTGGAACTTGTGTTTGGCCAGTCTGAAAGATTTTGAATCATGTCGGATCATTTTGACAATTTATTCATTTGATTGAAATCATTTTGGATCATTTGGGAATGATTCTGATTCAATTTTTCTTCAGTCTGTGTGTGTGTGGCTCGGAGAAGACCTCCAGCAATGCAAAACTCTGTCATGCTGCGTCATGTTGACTGTACTTGGAAGGCCGGCCTGGGCAAATGGATGGCAAAGAGGATGTTGCTTGGACTCGTGGAAAGAACATGTTGCTTCAGTTCAGAGTCTGCGGATCGACACTTGGGAAATCGGATATGATGCACTCGGATGACGCTGGAATATGCTACTGATGGTACGTCCAGTTTGCTTGGCACATCTCATATCAAAGAGCATCACCTATTGATCAGCCGAGAGCAAGGGGGCAGAAAAGGAACTTTCTGCAGACAGATTTGATAGATTTTGGGCAGGATCGCAAGAAAAAGTGACATCTGCGCAGAAAAGAACAACGCGACGATGGAACACGTATTCGCCCAACTTATCATTTTGCCAGTCTCTCACAGTCATGTGTAGTCAGTTGATGAATGAACCACTAGCGCCACTAGTTCATTCACTCACAGACTCAGAGACTGCCTCGACTACTGATTGATTGAAATCTTGAATGCATCATACACCCACCTTGTTACGCCCTTGTAGCTCATATGTTTCGTATTTTTTGAATCTTAACCCTGGTTAGTCCAGGGTCCACTTGTATCCCACTTGTATCCCATTTGCATCCAAGTAGAGCCCGGGCAAGCACGCTAGCGGAAGTTTCCAAGAAGGGGACGCTTATAAGGAACAGGGAAAACCTATAGGAACGAAGCCAGACCCCCTGTTTGCCAAGGCAGTTGTCTGTTTCAACTTTCTTGACATCTCATTCTCTTGGAAACTCTTTCTCTTGACTTTCTCTTGACATGCCTTTCTCGTGAACTCTTTCTGGTGCCACCTCGTTGTCTCGATTGTCTCGGCACATCTTTCTCTTGACATCCTTTTCTATCCTTTTCTGTCTCCATTTTCTCTTGATCCGGGCCCTTGACATCTCTTGCTCTTGGCAGCCCTCTGGACAGCTCTGAAGCTCGGTTGACACCGTCTCTTGAGCCGTTTTCGTATTTGATATCTGTCAATATCCTTTCTCCTTTTTTTGCCATCTCTTTTTCTTGAGACCCCTTTCTCTTGATATTTCCTCTCGACAACAATTTTTCCTCTTGACACCTTGGTTTTGCGAAACAAACATAGGGTTTCGTGCGGTTCCCAACCCTCCAACGATCACCTGGACAAAGCAATTCGACAGCGCTGTGCAATCACTGCTTTACAAGTCACAGTGGAACTGCGGCAGCCACCGCAGCAATGAGAACTTTGATGCAGCCATTCCACTGCGATCTGCAAACGTGGCTCACAAAACACAATGGCACAGCGCAGTGAGTCATCCCATGACACACAGGAAAGTCAACTTTGCAATGGAGGACGGAAATGATCGCAAAAAAGGCGGAACCGTCCTAGCCCTAGCTGCAAGGTTCCCCCACATCGACGCCGAGACGCACTGTGTACAAAAAACAAGATGAAGCCCACGAACCCGAATGCTCACACGTATGCTAATGGTACAGATGTCAATACACATGGTTATGCAGTGACGCACAATACCTTTCTGCAATAGTTTATTTGAACAGTCTTGTACATGTTTCCCTTGTTACCAGTCTGCAGTGTGGAGTGGAAAGTGTAGAGTGTGGAGTGTGGAGTGTGAAGTAAGGAGTGTGGAGTGTAAAGTGTGGAGTGGGGAGTGTAAGTGTGTAAGTGTAAAAGTGTAAAGAGTGTGGAGTATGGAGTGTAAAGTGTAGAGTGTGGAGTGTAGAGTGTGGAGTGTAGTGTAAAGTGTGGAGTGTGGAGTGAGGAGTGTAAAGTGTGGAGTGTGGAGCGTAAAGTGTAGAGTGTGGAGTCTGGAGTGGAAAGTGTAGAGTGTGGAGTGTAGAGTGTGGAGTGTAAAGTGAGGAGTGTGGAGTGAGGAGTGTGGAGTGAGGAGTGTAAAGTATAAAGTGTGGAATGTGGAGTGTACAGTAAAGTGTGGAGTGTGGAGTGCGGAGTGTGGAGTGAAAAGTGTAGAGTGTGGAGTGTGGAATGTAAAGTGGGGAGTGTGGAGTGTAGAGTGTGGCGTGAGGAATGTAAAGTGTAAAGTGTGGAGTGTGGAGTGTAAGTGTAGTGTGGAGTGTGAAATGTGGAGTGGAAAGTGTAGAGTGTGGTGTGTAGAGTGTGGAGTGTGGAGTGTAAAATGTAAAGTGTGGAGTGTAGAGTGTAAAGTGTAGAGTGTGGAGTGTGGAGTGTAGAGTGTAAAGTGTAGAGTGTAAAGTGTAGAGTGTGGAGTGTAAAGTGTAAAGTGACGAGTGTAAAGTGTGGAGTGAGGAGTGTAAAGCGTGGAGTGTGGGGAGTGTAAAGTGTGGAGTGTGGATTGGAAAGTGTGGAGTGTGAAGTGTGGAGTGTAAAGTAAGGAGTGTGTAGTGTAAAGTGTGGAGTGTGGAGTGTAAAGTGTAGAGTGTGGAGTGGAGTGTAAAGTGTAGAGTGAGGAGTGAGGAGTGGAAAGTGTAGAGTGCAGTGTAAAGTGTGGAGTGTGGAGTGCAAAGTGTAAGGTGTGGAGTGTAAAGTGTAGAGCGTGGAGTGCGGAGCTTCCCCTGTAGACACGGCGACGCCACAGGAAAACCAGAGACTCGAGACGAGACACGTGGGTGCAAAAAAACGAGCATTTCGTGCGAGACTTCGTCCAATTTGATATTTTCGACACGTTATCAAACAGGTTGGAATGTCACAAAGTGCCACGCCTGCCACGCAAAAGGACATGACAACCTGCTTGGACACATTCGAATAGGAGATGTTTTCCAGCTTCCCCCATAGACACGGCGACGCCACAGGAAAACCAGCGACTCGAGACAAGACACGTGGGAGCACCAAAACGAGCATTTTGTACGAGACTTCCTCCAATTTTGACATTTTGCAACATGACAAAAGGACAAGTTTTGCAGCTTCCCCCTTAGACACGGCGAGGCCACAGGAAAACCAGAGACTCGAGACGAGACAGGTGGGAGCACCAAAACGAGCATTTCGTGCGAGACTTCCTCCACTTTTCACACTTTGTAGCTTCACAATTGACGTTTTCCTACGAGTTTTCCTTAGAACCTGAAAATTTGCAACCTCGAAATCGATGTTTCGTGCGAGGCTTCCGTCAATTTTCAACACATCGCACAAAATGCCACCCCTGGCACGAAATTTGCACCTTGTCGCCACTTGACGCAGCCCTGCCAATGCGATTTACAAAAACACGCAACACAATACGTCTAAAGTGCTGCGCCTGCCACGAAAAATGACGATGGACACGTCCAAAGTGCTGCGCCTGCCACGAAAACTGCAACACATCTTCTGCAAACGGTGCAAAAGTGTTGCGCCTGCCACACAAAACGACTTTCGACACGTTACAGAACACGTCTGAATGTCACGAAGTGCCACGCCTGCCACGCGAAACGAAGCAACGACACATTGGAAACCTCCAAAAATGACCACCTCTGCAGAACTTCCCATAGGCACGGCCATACGGAGTTCGTACGAACGGTTGCGAGCGGTTGCGGACGGTTGCGGACGGTTGCGACCACAAACGCAACGTCGAGCGAACACACCCTCAACCCCCAGACCCCCAGAGTGAAACGGGCACCCTTGCTACGCATTCGGGAAAGATAGGGTTTCGTGCGATTCCTAACCACCAGCGTCACCTTCACGAAGCAATTCGACTGAAATCTGCAATCGCCATGCAACTACGTCAGAGGCAGCCGCTCAAATGCAAACTGCAATCCAATCTCTACTTCAGACTTCTCTACTTTTTTATCTACTTGCTTCTCTTCACTTCTCAAGTGGCTTCACTTCTCTACTTCACTCACTTTCTTACTCTTCACTTTTCTCTACTTCAGACTTCTCTACTTTCTTCACTTCTCTATTTGCTTCACTTCCCTACTCTTATATAACTTCTCTACTTGACTTCCATTTCCCTACCCTCTCCACTTCCCTACTCTTTTCACTTCCCTGCTCTTCACTTATCTGCGTCAGACTTCCCGACTCCTCACTTTTATATTTCTATTCACTTTTCAACTTTCTTCACTTCCCTGCTATCTGCACTTCCCTACCTCCAGCCACATTTTTCAAGATTTGTAACATGGAGTTTAGATGAAATTAGATTTCTAAACTTCCTTTGACCACTTGTATCCCACTTGTATCCCATTTGTATCCCATTTGTATCCACTGGATGATCCAAGCATCTCAGTCACTCGTCATTTGCCAAGGTTCTCTCTGCTTGTGTCCACCTGTGGGCCGCCAAGATTGCCAAACTTTCGCGACATGCCACACAGCCTGTGCTGTTTCTGTACACAACAAAATGTGCAACATGCAATGTACTGTACCTTTGTGTACCATATATTATTGTATACCGCAAACAGGTGGTGCTGCGGTAGTTTTCTGCTATTTGCACATTCAGGAGGGGAATGCAGTGCTGGAAGGGTGGATTTCACAAGCGTGCCAAGTAGTGTAATCTGGTTTTCTTTCTTAGGATTCGGAAAAATGACGATAAAAGATGTTCCGCCTTGCGCGAAGGACTTGGACATGAATGCCAAGAAAGAGGACGGACACTGTTTGGACATAACCCGCGGTTGTGCAGAGCGACCTGCTCTTAACTTAGGCCTGGAGGAAATGTGAGGATGGACGAACATCTCCTGACTACATATTTGTGCAAGTGAAGTAAATTCAGATTCAAAGAGAGAGTATTCACAGGAAACACGTGTAGCAACTTCCTTTCTGATCTTTGCCGCTTTCTTGGTATGCTGTTTCTGGATCCCAGGGAGGATTGTTGTTGCATTTTGTCGAAATACATGCTAGCTTCTTTTGATTGTCAATTTGTGTCCTTAAGTCTCCTGGGCTTTGTCCCTGGCCCATGTATTTTCTTGTTTTGAGGACATCGAAGAGCTGACGAACGGTTACGGTCCGGACTTGCAGAAGGCCGAAGTATGGCCTGTAGCATATAGCTATGCAGCTATGTATAGCATTCTATAGCCTATGCTACAGCTTTAAGCACATCATCAATAGGTGCAACGGAGCGTCGATGTGAGGCCATTTATGCCTCGGCCGGCGCAGCCCGACTGCAAACCTTCAGACATTCCTTATGTATTTGCTGGTGCTGATAGTGTTATACTGTCACGACTCACGACCAAGGTGCTTCTAGCAAGGTTTCTTTGCTACTTCTGCACCACGAGGCCTAAGCTGAAGCAGTTTATCATAGTTAATCATCACAAAAGCGATGGCTGGAGTTTCTTCCTAATGGGAAGGATGTGGTGGGTGGCAGCAATGGCCAATTGCATGTTTTTTAGGCAAAGCTCAACAACAGTCTGCTAAGTCTGCTCAGTGTAATCTTGTATGCCGACTTCAGTCCTTACTTCACCCAATTCGCCACATCCAACTCACTTCACCCAACTTGCGCCCTTCTCTTTATGCCTTCTCCTTCATGCTTCCCGTTGCATCTCGCTTTGTCTTGCGGCCACGGTTTTTCATTTTCTTACCTCTTCCATCCTCTTCCCTGACTTGGGAATGATGAGGGATCCAGGTTTTACTTCGCCTCGCTTCTGAATCTCTCTTTAGGTCCATCAGCTATCAAATTTGATCCAGCTTTCCATCCGACAGGGCCTCCTCCACTCCCTTCATTGATGGCCGTCCAAAGGCGCAGTCGGTTCATTGGTTCATTGGCGTTGCTTCGTTCTGGCAAGGTTTTTTTTCGCATTTTTTCCATAGATATTCCAGCTTGCTATGATTGAATGAAGTAGCACGTACGATAGTGTATATTCGGCCACAGAGTGAACCATTAATTCTCCCTCAAAGAAATGTAGCCAGATTAGGAAAAAACATGAAGACACCATGTTTTGTCTTTACATCAATTTACACCCGTCAATGTGAACCTTGTCGCCCTTGTCAGAACAAGACCGTTTCATCCCAGCCATCGCACCTTGGTATGAACACACTGGCATAACTGACATGCCAATGTCGGCAGTCGACTCGGTCGACACCTCGTTTGAACCATTTTAAGATAAACTGAGGCCGTCGAGGCCATTGGATGCATCTGCAGCGCTGCTGTTGCAGTCAGCGTCTGCAATGAGGACCCTTCCTTCGGAGTGGGAAAGTCTGCTAGGGATGCAAAATGGCAGACTGCAGAGTCGGCCTGAGTGCAGAAAACTTCAAGAAAAGTGAAGAGACAGTGACAAATAACACCGCATGCTTGACTTTGGTGAGTATGATAAAACACAGACACAACATATATTTTACATTCTACACATATTTATAGTTAATTGTAGCCTGGCTTCTTGTCTCCTTCTTCCCTTCCCTCATTCTTATCCTTCCAGGTTGGGAAAGCATTTTCGCCACAGGTTTTCTTCCGACTCCCTTTCTTTTTGTTGCGTTGTTGTTTCGAGGCTGTGGCCAATTTGGCCAAAAGAATCCAATCTGAAAATTTTGTCAGGACAAGGTCACACTTCGAGGAGGTGCCCCGGACAGATCTGGGCCTCTAAGATGCCTTTTGGGCCTTTGAGCATCTGCATTTTGACTCGATTTTGGATTTCAGATGTCTGCATTCACAGCGCGTTTCTGGTTTTTGATGGTTTTTGTGCTGGATGGAATAGAAACCGCAAAGCTGAATTTTTTATACGCTTGTAGGTCTACTTCTCAGTTCTAGCCCTGTAAACTGCAATCTCTCAGGAGCCAGAGCCAGACCCAGGGCAGGAGCTGAAATGGTGGGGGATTCGTTGGAATACTTTTGAAATGGATCCGGCGACACCACAGCTGATCGTAGTGCATCCTTCTGTGATTCAGCAGACGCGACTTCGCTGCTCCGCAAACTTGATAGGGTAGATCAGGACAACTCATCGTATGTATGCAAAGCGTCAGAATGTTGAGAGATTTGATGACCAAGCAGATATTGTGCACGCTGTTCGCAGCACTTCATCGTAGTTCAAGGTCACCCCCAAGAAAAGCCTCTTGCAAAGCTGAAGGCGCCAATATGGATAGATAGAACAGCCCCAAACATGTAGGACAATCAAGATGCTCGACGCTTTGCAAAAGAAGAGGCATTGGAAACCGTAATGGTCGCTGCTCTTGTGCGCTGGCATCCACCCATCTTGTCTTTTCCTTGAGGTGCAGTCATGAGAATTTGTGATTCTCGGATGCCTGTGTAGGGATTCATGAAATATCGGACATTCGCTTCCAGTGATTCCAGTGCTTGCAAACAACCAGTGCAAGTGCAACGGCACCAGGCACAAATTCTCCGTGACTTGGCCTGGCTGCTGATGCTGCTTGGCTGGGTCAACGCGAGGGTCAAGGGGTAAGAGGCGGTGTGGTGGGCCGATTGCCATGCACACCATGCTTTTGTCGTGGCTCAACCCGTTGATTTGTCAGTTGTGTGGTGCAGAAGATTCAGGCTGCTGCTCTTGATTCAGAACACCAAAACAACGCCCCGTGTTTCCCTGCGCATTTCCAAGTGAGGCTTTCCGCGTGCTTCTTCTTCGAGCTCAAGTTTATTGTGTTCCTGATCTCAAAGCCATCATCAGCAGTCACCAAACACGCTTGACATCACTTTAGTGATCCAAGGCTAATCTATAGTTTTGAGTAGATTTGATTTGTTTCGTTTGACAGTCTTCAACATTTCAGAACCGCCGTCCAGCATCGCAGCTCTTTGATGTCGTGAAGACAGTGAGGCAACAGCCTCGAAAAAAAAAACCGGCGTTTTAAGATCTTGAAAAGCCAAATCCATGCTATCCACGGGCACAAATGTGCATTTAAGAGTTCGACACACCGGGTACACCGGGTGTAGATTTTGGTGCCCGAGGCCGCTTATTGCAGACTTTGAATTTGGTGGCTCGGCTTGCGCTCACAGTCCAGTGCAGGTAGTGAAATTGCTTGCGTAACAATATGTTTTCACAGGGACGTTAGACTCCTGGACTTGTCCAAGCTTTGGATTGTTGGTATAGGGATGTATGAGACTCTGTGAAGCTGTATAGTTGCTCTCACCCTTTCTTTTTGACGTTCGTGCATGTTTCCGAAACAGCCTGAGGAGCTTTTTGTGGTGATTCTTGCCATTTACGAGACTTGGCCACAAGAACCCAAAGTGGGAGTGTCCGCACTGCAAACCAGCAGCGAAGAAATAGGGCACAAAACTGATCACTCTGTCAACCACTTTAGCGGAGAATCTTCGATTCTTCGGATGCTATCCTTTTGTTTTAATGCAGACAGACCACAAAGCAGTGTGGAGTGCTGTGTTACCAGGACAGACCAAGAACTTCAAGCTCATCAGCAGTGACTGCTTTGCATGCACTGGCGCCCTTGCCTTTTGCTGGTCTCTGGTGGTATTGACGGCTTTCTTTGAGCCTAGGCGAATGGTTTGAAGCTTTGAAACGATGCCAAATGGCATGCGTCAAATGGCATCCCTGTTCGCATTTTTCGTGTATCGCGCTATATTTGTTTGGGTGTGTTCGGAACAGGGGTTTGATTCCAGTGAAGTGTGGCGAATATAGCTTGGCTTTCAGCTATGGAACAGAAAAGCATTTGAACAGTGTATGATCTATATGATATGACAGTGAATGTAATTTTGTATGTCTTGTTTGCCAAGGACGTCTATTACATTTTCTATGTGACGAAGCTGCATTTTATTTTCCCTGCCTGAGACTTTGGAACATGCTGAGCTGTTAATAATGCGCTTGATTGGTGCCCCTAATAGAGGCACCTCCTTCATTTTAGCCAAAGGGGACAATAGAATCTGCCAAACAAGGACCTGCTGTATCAGAAATTTAACTTGATTTAGAAAGATCTAGGTTCGGAAAAACTCGTGCGACATACACTGGGGACTGCAACCCACTGTCGGCTTTCCTGACCATCTACCATTCGACTTAATCTACAGTATGTCAAAATTTATTAAAATCATCCGACTATTGGATACATACAGATTAAGAAGCCCTGCAATAGATTCAGCGCAAGCACACAGAACGTGACGAATTTGGACGCAAGACACACTGCCTCAGGCAGGCACAGCAATCTTCGGATATTGCCACTTGGACCCACTTGGCGCACCCTCTCCAGACCTTGACTCAGCTCCACAGCCAGGCATGGGCGAATGGCGAGGCCTTCGAAATGCTGGTGACTCAGATTGCGCCGCTTTCAACGCTGTGCCCATGCCATGCCGCAGTGCCCATCCCTGCCATGCCAGGTCTTGTCCACCGCTCTGCGACATCTCGTCGGGGGCTGTGATTTTGTAAAGCGCAGGGACAGATGATGAAAGTTGATGTGGGCAGTCCAAGAGTCTACAATCGTGAGATTCAAACATATTCAAGCATATTCAAGCCTGAAGATCAAATTCATGGTTTGATGTGCCTTGAGTGCCTTGAGTGCCTTGAGTGTTCGGACCTTCGGCTTGTTGTTCCCGTTCTTCCCGTTGTTCCCCCTGAGAACCTTTGCCACCCTGAGGACTTGGACTCCTCTCCAACGGCACACATTCCTGGTGTATTCAGCCAGACGGAGAAAGCTAGCAGAGTGTTCCGTGTCTGCACTAAATCACATGAGATTGGGAAGTTGGATGAAGTTGGATGAAGTTGGATGAAGTTGGATGAAGTTGGATGAAGTTGGATGAAGTTGGATATTTCCTGAAGTCTGCTTGCAATATTTGATGCAGATCATTTGCATCTGAATTCACGTATCTGGGTTAAAATGGGTACAGAAAAAGAGACTCAGCTTAGCATTCCTTTGCAAGTGATTATTCATGATCGTCTTCTTATTGTCAATTCCCCTCTTGCCGGTCGTTACCAGTATTTCCTTCAGGTTGCTTTCAGCTTGTGTGAATCAGGTTTGTTCCACCAAACACATTTCCAGACAGAAAATGATATTAACTTTGATTGAGAATCAACAACTCATGTACATTCAATATCAGTATTTATTTCACATATTTTCACATTATGTCCCATGTCACGTAGTAATTCCTTTAACCTTGATGGATTGCAGTTTTTTTTGTCTCCGTGTCTCCGTGTCCGGTCGTGTAAGGAATTCAAGGATGAGCGACGGCGAGGCCATGCAGGCGGTCTTTGGCGTTTCCTGGCGCATGGCGCGAAGCTCAGAGCCTGGAGCCGTTGAAGCCGTGCACAGATGCAAAGGGCAAAAAAGGAAGAGAATATCAAGGAATATAATTGGAATATAAATCTATATCTATATCATTCTATATCCATATCTATATATATATTGAATTTGTTTTAATTCAATTATTAATTAATTTGATACCTAATTATGCTGGCAAGAACATAGAATAACTTTGTCAGTTGAATCAGTTGGGTGAGCAACCCTCTTTTGGCAGCTTTCAGAATTTTCACAGGCTTGGAGCCGGATTGTGGAAGCTCTCTACGAGGACATGCGGAGCTTGTCATGGGCTAGAGGGAGGTTGTGAAGTCTCAGCATTGCTTTGTCGGATCAAAGTTTGCGTGTTTTGGCGCTTCAGTCGTCACTCGGGCTGAGGCATTTTTAGGATGTTTAGGCAGTGTGCGCAACATAGCGCGCACTTGCACATGCCAATTCATTCAGACTCATATTGTTGCATCGGAGGTGATGTGCCAATGATATTTTTTTGATGCTCTGACTCTTCGTCCCCTTTTGCAACTTTGGTTTGTGGAGCTGCGCCCATCGAATGGCGAGAATGTTTACACTGTTGGACTTGATGCCCGGGTTTGTTCCATCAGGACCATGTGATATCTTCGGACCAGGCAAATGCAATGGTAAAGGCCGTCGCTCCATCGCTTCATGGTAAGCCGGGACATTACTTTCATAAAAAACGCTAGACGCGATTTGAGGCAAGAGGGCAAGTTTAGCATTAAGACAAACCTAGAGAGACCGCAGAATGTCAAGTAAACCTGTTAAAGGAGCTGCTCCAAAGAGTCTTCTGTATTTTGAGCGTTTTGTCGTCTTCATCCCTTGTTTGCATTCATTGCTTTCCTGCAGGCAGCCAGCACAGTCCGCTGGGATGACGAGAAAGGGATGAAGACGGTGGCCTTGAAGGGCTTGACACCCGATCAATTTAGCAGGCAACAAGCGCTCATTTGTCATGCCCTCTCCCGCCCTGTCATGCCCTTTGGAATCCTGTGGACTGAGCATGCATGGGCGTCATATATATCTTTGTCCCTTTCGAAACATTACATGAGAGGGGTAACCTCAGTTTCAAAGCAATTTGCATGATGTTCTGCTATTATCATTTATTGTCAAAAACTTCCAAATGAATCATTTCAATTCATGAATTCATAGATCCAATTGATCCAAATGACAGGCTGCGATTCACCGCAACGCAACTACGCAATGGGATCCCCGCAAAGCGGAGTCCTCGGAGCAATCTCCCTTGGCCGACTCGGACATGGCTCGGACATGACTCGGACACTTGCATCCTGCAGACAACAGAGACTGCCAAGAGACTGCCAAGGGATGCAAGCAAATTCGGAGCTCTTAGCAGATGTATTTCTGCCTTGGAGGCTAACTGGAAGGGCCACATGAAGACAGATGAAGACAGAAGAAGACAGCTCTAGCTAAACACACTGGGTCCTGGGACTGGGAGTCCGAAAAGGATTTCCCACAACTTGGTGGTGAAACTGCCAGGTCTATGTGCGGACTCCAGAAGGTGGCCATAAAAGGCCAGAACCTTGGCACGCCACCCGTGTAAACCATCCATGTAGAATGGTGACAGAGCTAGTTCACGTCGTTTCGACAGAGAACTCAGCGTCGCGTCGAACAGATTTCCATTGTCGTTCGTGTCTTTTTTTTAAAACTGATACTGGCATATAAAGAAGTCCTCCATGCATGTGCAGGCACACACACACAAACAAACAGAGAAGTTTCTTTGAACTATTTTGAAATGGCGATTATCCAATCTGCTCCAAAGGCAGACTCTCTCCAAGATCGAAAACTTCACCGTTGACTACCCTTTGGAATCTTGTCTGCAATCCTGGCAGTCTTCCGTTGCTCCGCTTTGCATAGCCTGATGTACCTTGGTGACTTCCAAATCTTTGCCGGCAAAGTGAAGAGTGAGTGACCATGCTTTGCTTGGCACAACATGAGCAGCTCAATGCTCAGCTGAATGGATGCTGTCATCTTAGGAAACTGAGGCCTGGGTGACTGAGCAGCCGGGTTCGACAGAAACTCATGAAGGTGGTTCAAAATAATGTCTAATGATAATGCTAAGGACAAGGATATACAGATGATCTGAAAGGTATTTCGGGATTACTGCAAGTCTTCTATCCTTCCTCTTTGACATGTCCTTGAATCTTCGGATCGCTTTTTCTGGTTTTGTGTCTTCACCAACGACCAACAAACATGTGCCAGGAATTGCGGGAGAAGCTATTGCAGGACTTGCAGGCCGAGAAGAGTCTTGATGCGATCGTGTCGGTTCCAGTGCCTTGGCTGTGGCTGTGGATAGCAACCCTAAAGTGAGTGAAGACTCTCATGTGAGCCGCCTGGGAAAATCATAGTTTCCTTCATTCTACTCTTTGCGTCAAAGGCCAAAGACAGAGTTTTCAGGCTCACAATAGCCAAATCGATGCACTGTTCGGCCTTGGCTCCTATATATAGATGCTGCTTGAAGATCAGTGCTTCGGGATTTGTTCCGGACTTTGCTCTTCCCTTTTCGAAGCGTTTCGCACCTAAGGATTTTGACTTGCCACCAAACAGCAGACTTCTGGCAGTATTACCTGTGGCTGATGGAATCGAGCCAGAGCTAAGCGATACGTTCAGCAAGAAGATGTCCATCAGAGGATCTGCGCCCAAGGAGCTGATTCAGTGGTCCCATGTCCTTTATGATATTCAGATATTGGGCTTTCTTGAAATGGGGGATCCCCAAAACCATGGGTTTCAATACTAAAATGGTCTGATTTGGATGATTTGGGGGACCCCCATTTTAGGAAACCTCCATATGTTCACGATGTTCATATCAAATCCAGGAGGAGATCATCGAGGACTTGCGCAAAGTTACACTACCTGCTTTGTTGGTCTTCCAGCGCGGTGGAATGACTTTCTCTGAGGCGGACATCTGCGGACATCTGCGGACATCTGCGGACCTGCAGCGAGTGCCATGGGATGAGTTGAATCTTGTTGTATCAATTTGTATCATGTTTTATCACACGGCCATTCCAGGTGGAGTTGGCATTGGATCCCCCTGCGAGTGTGAAATTTCTGTCGTTCCAGACTGGCAAGGACTAGAGCTGTTTCGTTTAAAGAGTGCCCACAATTTATGCCTACATGAGTATTGCCCACGCTGCTACCTCAGCATGCCAAGAGCTTCTTCCCAGCTTATAAAATTTATAGATATTAAGCTGATTAAGCTGATTAAGCTAGGATTCTTTGAGCCAGAAATGCTGTTACATGTTAAAAAACAAGTCAGGAGTTCAAGTCATTTTTTGGAGGGAGTTCCATGTGCAAAGAATCGATGCATATCCTGCCCGTTATTTGAAGAGCCCATTGAACTCCAGGACGATCCTGGCTTGGACCCAGTCTGCTGGAAGGCGCTGGGTCACTACTTGGCCAACTTGAGATTCAAACTTTAAGCCTACATCAATTGACATATTTTGACACATGGTATTGTTGCACATTATCTAGGTCCTGGTTGGACATTGTTTTCTAGAATCCATACAAAGCTAGTCAGACCTGTTGCTCGGCGTGCAGAGCTTTGGAAGGTGGAAGGCTTTGTCAAAGACAAGGACGGAGACGCTGGACAATGGAAGCAGCTGGTTTGTCTAGACAAGCCCTATTTGCCTCCCAGCAAGCGCCAGATCCTTTGCTGCATGGCCTGTTGACCAGATCGACACCTAATGGTTAAACAAACATGGTTAAACGGCACATGACATCGACACAGAGCTTGCTGGCCATTTATGGGGCTTGTTGAAGGCTTGATGCTCTTTAAGAAGCATTTTTGATGCGGCTCCCTGTAATGTTTCAACCTTGACCAGACAGGGCAGGGGGAACGGAGGAGGTCATTGACTATTTTGTGTTTCCTATTTCCTATGTCCCCTTTCCTTTTTGCACTCTGGCCGTTCCCGCCATACTCGTACTGTACATTCTCAGACAGGTTTCACACGTGTTTGACCGCATACCTTCAGATATCTTAGAATATTTCTGCTACTGTTTTCACCAAGGCAAGATATGATTATGGTCTTTGACGTGGAATATTGGCGAACGGCTGGCAAGGTGCGTGGGTTGTGACACTCTTGACAAGGGTAAGTGCCGGTGTCACCTTTGGCTCGATTGCGCGGTTTCAGGCTGGAAGCATCACCCTGCAATCTTTCCTGCCGGTGGTGCAAGAGACACTCGCTCTTCACAGCTTTCACATTTTAAATATTTTTAAATGACAGATGATCTCAGATGTTCAGCCGGTTGGCTTTGAAACTGACACCTTGGGATGCCAGATTTCTCCGAGGCGCCTGAGCTTCTTCACGGCATCGCTACGGAGCCTTGCGAGTTCCAAGAAGAACTACAGCCTGAGACTGAGATAAGACGACTGAGCATCGAAGAGCATTGCTGGAGTAGATCCTGTGATGTCCAATGTTCTGGTTTGGCTAGAAATCCTTCCCCACGGTTTTGAGCTGGAATTCCTGGCAACATGGGCCAGAGGGCCAGAGAGTGCCGGAAATCAACATGCCGCACATGCCCAAAACTAGTGCCTCTCTGTGAAAATGTGCAAATAAGGCATACGTCCTGGCATTGACACGCTGCTCGATAGCCACGTTGGGAACATTCCGTCCTTGACACAGGCCGTTCAGCAAAGATTCCTCGATGCAATGCTTGGATAGTAGGGTTGTAGCCTTGCTGCTGTTGCATGTGATCGCAAGATCAAAACCACGTGGTCTTTCCGTGTTTTTGTTTGACATCTATTTTCAAAGCCTTCAGAGGTAGCCCTCCATCACTCAGGAAAGGAGAACTCAGCCGTTGACAGATTGAACTTGCTACATTCCATTACAGTGTCCATTGCATTCCGATGTTTACAGAAGCTTCAGACTCTATCTGAATCTTTCCAGGTGATCCCTTGCTACAACGAGACCGTGATCCTGAGCAAGCAGTTCCTAGAAGATGTAACTTGGCATGGACAGAAGTTGCCTCCATGAATTAAAACAACTGGTAGCTGGATGTAGCTGGGAAGATCTGGGAAGCATGTGCATCTCTACAGCTCTGGTTGCAAGGAGGATGGGGTGAACACCAATCTCGGCTTCATCATCTCTCAATTTCCGGAAGAGCGACCCGTCAGAATTCCTTCTGTCATTGCCAGAGCCGGCCGTTCCGAAGTCCGTCTGTGATCAACCCTTGCAACAGCTATTGAACAGCACTCAACAGCTATTTATATAACAGCCTTCGGCGATATCAACGTATAACAACGGAGGTTTGTCTTCTTGTAATCATTTGTAATCGCTGCATGGAAGCCTTTTCGCCTGAAGTTATGGCACGGGAAAGCGGTGGGGAAACTATCCTGAGGTGGCGTTTCTTCTGCGAGCGGCACAGCTATTCCGCGAAGGAGTTGACCTGTTTGGTACTCGTATTTGAGATGCAGAGTTCGTTCCTGTGTACACACGACTGCCATGGATTGCCATGGTAATTATCTTGCTGTGTTCCATTCTGTTGGAGCATACTGCAGCAGTCATTTTACTCGTATGGTGTCAGAACTGTTCTATGCTCTTGATATTTCGGTCTTCTTGCATCTTTTTGCGATTTGTTTCAGTTGAATGCTACGCTTGGATTTGTGCACGAGCTGTTCGCACTGAACGAATCCATTTATCGCCATAGATGTTCTTTGTTTTGGGTTGGTTGAGAAAGGAAGAGGTGATGACTTTAAGATCATTGAATGCACCTTTAAGCCTTAAACGACGGGCCTGCTTACCTAGTTTGCATGAAAAAAGAGTGACTCAGAACATCAGCTTAGCAAATGTAACAATTGTAACAGCTTGTCGCATGTCCATGTCCTCATGCAAGTCCTTTTCTTCCCGGAACTGCACAGAGTGCGCAGCTTTTGAACGAAACGGCCGATTTAGAACGGCACACATTCTGTGCATCACATCTTTTTCACGACACTCCCAACGGCTTCTTGCAGAACCTGCTCCCGACCCCTATTAGAAAAGGGAAAAGCAAATGAGACCTTAGTTAAGCTAGGGAGGGCTACAAAGTAGCTTACCCCTGCTGATCAACGGCGCGAGGATATGTACGACGCCTTCATGGGTCGCGATCAGAGTGAAGCTTTGTCGCCCAAGCTATGTATGGAGGCGCCAAATTTGTTCACTGATAGATTGAATATGATTAAATATGATTAAATTATATAGCCTATAATATAGCCAATGGCAGATTGACTGAGTGCCGCAATTTATCTTTTCATCAGGTGAGGATGTGGGCATCGATGCGATCGCAGACTGTGGCAAGGACCCTTGGGTTTCAATAAATCATTCACAATAATTCGTTTCCAATTTATGATAACCTATGATTCTGATGTGCTTTTCTTCGCTCTCTGACAGTTTTGGTAGCATTCCGGCAGCATTCCCGTATTTTTTATGCTCCAAAGACAGATGAATGTGCTCTTCCTCCATACTTGTTCTAGCAAGAAAAGTAGAGTTTGTGCTTTTCCAATGCGTGGCACACGGCCATGGGACCGTCAACTCCAACATGCCAAATTGGATCAACAGCCTCAACAGCCTCAACAGCCTCAACAGCCGCCATTTTGAGAAGCAGCAGACATTTGACCCTGGGTCAAAAAATCGCGTTGCATTGCTCCATATTGTGACAACAAGCCTTTTCTATCCTTTTCTGATTTCGATGCCATTGTGAACCTGCGGCGGAGGACAGTGGTAGGTGCCATGCAGTACCAAGAGGCTTGACTGTTTGGTGAGAGAAAAGCAAGGCACTGTTTCGCGATTCCAAGTGTCAAGCACAACAGCTGTGAGTCTGACATAGCCTGATATCCAATTCTTGTTGAACCTTGCTGACCTGGTAACATAATGTAACATAGCTGATATAGCTGTGTTTGTTGGATTTTGTTGGGGCTTTTCTTTTTCGGCTGGTTATGTTCCATCTCCTGTTCCCGAGCTTGGAAGGTGGTCGCGCTGTTGCCAAACGTTCAGGCATCAAGGCATCAAGGCATCCAGAACAGGCCCTGGGGCTTCGCAGTTGGCGAAGGGAAGAGATGTGCGACATGGCGTCCTTGCATCACTACATCTCTTGTGCAGCAGAAAACATATTCTGCATAAAATGTTTTGCCCCCCAAAGGCAGAGGACTGCTGAAGTTATTCCGAGTTTTGGCTGTTGCAATTAATAAATAGCCTTTGGACGAGGCGCTTGAGCACTGTGTAGAGCTGGTGCTCGCACATCAGACCTACGGAAGCAAGGTGCAGTTCTCAAATTCAATTCGCTATTTTTTTGAGAAACAATGAATTTGCCCAGTACTTGTCAACAAAGTGTTGAAGTCCAGGAGGAATCGAAGCCAAGATCCAAATTCTATTGTCCAAGCATATATGCATTGTCAATAGGATCTCTGCACTTGGAGATCTCACTTGGGCGCTATGCGCAAGCGTGTACTTCCATGAGCCATGGTAGAGCCGTGATGGCGCAAGGCTGGTTCTGAAGAGAACGATCAGGCCGTGCGGCAACTTGTATGAAGACATCGCATGCTTTCTTGTTGTGGGTCAGATGTCAGTTTCATTCATACCAGACACGATGGCTAAGCCATGTCAAGCCAACCTTTTTACGACCAAGGTATTTGCTCTCCAAATATCAGGATCGGAGCTTTTACCTGGTCTTTGACTTTGACCTTGAAAAGATACGACCAAACCTTGTTGCAGCAGTACAAAGCTTCGTCCGACAGAAGTGCTCCAGCCAATTACACGTGTATTCCTTTAATGTGCAATGCATCGTCTTGATTCAATATGAACAGCAATACTGATCAATACTGTACATTTCTCTGGGCTTCTGAGAATTAGACCGGAACCACAGTGGCTTCCCTGTTTCTGTGTTTGTGGCAATTTGTGGCGCCGTTGAGGTAAAACTCTTACAGACGTCGCTTGTGGGTCGTGTTTTTTGAGTGCCAGCACAGTGGCTTGTCAGAAAAGGTACTCCTACGATCGGCCCATCAAACATGCGTCCTGGCCTCAGCTCAGGTGAAATGCCAACAGTGCTATAGCTGCTATGCATGCTGATTCAATGCTGATTCAATGTTGATTCAATGTTGATTCAATGTTTCTCTGGCTGATTCCGCATGGCTTGCAGCGACTTGCACTTGCAAGGAGTGTGTTGGCGCGCTTTCGCTCTGGCAGAACGTCTTCAGAGACGGTGCCTGAGGAGTGCCTGGAGCTGGTGGAAGTGCTGCCGAGGCGCCTTAGAGATCCTTGTGGTCGTGCGACATCCAAACGCAACACATCATCTTGATTTCATATTGTATACTGTATATGAAAGATCAAATGCACTTTGCATAACTTTGCATCATATAATATATCATCGATGTTATAGAGTCATTTTGGGTACCAGAATAGCAAGAACTATATAATGGGTCTCTTACACTACGTAGAGTTGGCAGCATGTAGAGTTGTCAGCGTCCACCAGCAGAATTAGATATACTGAAGCAGATGCAGAAGCAGATGCAGTATTGAATCTGCCGTTGGCCAAATACTTGGCCAACTACTTGGTACGAAATTGCAGTGGTCCACAGTACATTGTCATATTGTTTTTCTTACTTCGCTTTACTTCTCATGTTTTTTCGAATCAACGACAGTTTTTGGATCCAGCCCCAAGGGCCACCGAGCAGCGCTTGTGTGACTGCAGGTGCTTCCCACTGCTGGTGGGCACGCCAGGCTTCATGACACAAGGCAAGGCAGGAAACCAACTGGGGGCATTGCGCTTCTCTCGCGGCCACTTTTTGCAGATGATGGATGCCGCTTGCCGAAATATCAGCCTCGAAGACTATGAAAGTTTCTGGAACACTAATTGAGTCGTGTCCACTGCATTCTGGCAACATTTTGATCATTCTGTCATATTTTGTCGGTCTGGTATGTTTGCAAATCTAAGGCCAACATGGGAGCCTTTCTTGGCGAAGCGTGCAAGGTGCCCTTCATCCTGCGCCGCTTTCAGCCCCATTGGTCTGACAGGTGCCATTCAGCTGTAGTGGTCATTGCTACCAATGACACAGTAATGACACCCAATGAATGTCGAAGAGAATTCTGCGGCAATGCAATGCTCTTACAAATCTGCGGAGCCTGTGTGATTTTTTTCTCGAACACCATTGCCTTTCGTCGGCATGCGAGGACCACTGTGAGGGCACGGATCATAGGCTTCCGAGAAACTTATCTATGGAGAGGATTTTGACATAATTTGACAATTTTTTTCACTGAATATATTGAGCATTGGAAAGCAACCACACTGTGGGCTAAGGAATTCATCTTTACGGAGAGTCACGGTGCTGTGGGAAGTGTCATGGCATCTGCTGAGTGGTCCTTTGGAACCATTTGTCAGTGTGAGGCTTGGTGAGGCTTAGCGGCTTAGTTTGAGTCACAGCGGATGGTGGAATCTATGCAGAATGAAATGACATCAGATCAGACAACTCACCGCCTTTTCCATGGCACTGAGGCGGTTCTTGTCTGGATTGGGCGCACGTGACTTGCGCTGCATAATAGGCTCAAGCTAGAAGCACGTTGCAATCCTTACCACCAAAGGATCCCAAAGGCAGAACTTCCAATGCTGGAAGATCCTATTCCAGCGGCTGCTTCAGGAATGCACTATGGCCATCCAGATTTTCTGGATGGATTCTGGGCCTCTAACCGTGGATCCCTTTCCAAAGCATCGCCTGCCATCAACCTCTCAGAGGACAGACTGCAGACCAATTGAGGTTTCTTCACATTGGTATTGTGACGGCTACAGACCAAGTGATAGCACATGCAAAAAACAACTGAAAGTAACTGAAAGTAACTGAAAGTAACTGAAAGTAACTACAGTAAAAATCACTAAATGTAATCGTGCAATCTGTGCACAGTTCGATAGTTAAACTCTCAGCGACGGCGCCATCTTGCCACTGACTCACCGTTCCTTTGCAATTGAGCGATTTTGGCAGCTCCAAAGGACATCTTTGCAGGGTTCAATGTGAGAATGCGAGGCCGCAAGTCTCTCTTTGCCTCCAGTCTCCACATCTCACAAGTCCGAATTCTCTTGCGCTCTATCCCTGTGATCTGGTGCTTTCAACATTTTCAATAGAACATACATAGCATGAAGATCATGAAGCATATTCGAGCGTATTCAGGGTTTTTCGAGCTCTTGCAAGCTATAAACCATTATAAACATAGCATTCGTTTTTTTCAGACTCTTCAAGACTCTTCAGGGATAGTGTAGCGTCATTGGGCAGGTGAAGCCTCGAAACACGTGGACTTCTTGGCTTGGGAGAAGGGGCGTGAATCTTCCTTCAATGCGGCCGCCCTTTTCTACACCAAGGCTGGACACCAAATCCGACAAATTCAAACGAGCACTCCTGCAATGTCTTGTGAAATTGGGAACTGTTGGGGTTGGCATTTTCGTGTCACATGCCCTCTACCCGATTCTACCCCTATTATTCCGGCTGTACTGGGTAACTTTTTGACAGAGGTTTGTGGCCACTGTTTTTGTGGGTCATTTTCTGGGTCCGCCTTTGGGATCCGTGCCGTGTCGGGTGACCTGCGAGGTCAGCAAAGGTAACGTGGGAGTGATGCGCTCGCGCGACTTGAAAGTGATCACACAGAGCCTTGTCCAAATCCACAAATGAATGATAATGAATGTATCTTGCCATATCTTGCCTGAGTTTCATCCACATTACATATGATTGACTGTCTTTTGATGCTGTAATTTGTTCACCTGGTGAAGTGTTACACTGTTACACCATGTTACACCGAGGAACATGAATGTGGCCAAGAGCTCAGTTTGATTTTGCGTGGAGGTAGCCTGGTAGCCTCATCAGAGCCATTGCCAGAATGAAAGAGTTTTGCCAAATCTGAAACCATAGTCAGCTACTCATCTACTCGAGTATCAGCAGCTCCCAGGTGGATAATTTCTCCTTCTACTTCGCATCAGCATCTTGGCATCTCAGATAGCGGAAGTTGCTGGACTGCCTTTGACATCTGACTCTTGGTATCTTGATTGGTATCTCTCTAGTTCTGCTTGTGCCCACCTAGATCGGTTTCTACTTGAACAATCTGCTGATTGATCTCTCCAGCACGCTCTGGACTCAGTGTTTCTTTCACTGCTTTGGTTTGGTGCCTCAACAAATCAGTGGGCACTCACCGTGAAGTATTGTGATTTGTGCCGGATCTTGTTGGGTTTCTTGGAAAAATTGCAGAAACTGAAAGAAACTGAGGGTCTATGTGTTCCTCTTCATCCTCTTGGCACTGGCAACAAAGTCTCTGACAGATGTAGCCTCACTGGACTCTATGCTGGCCACCGAGTGGACGTGCCGTCTGGCATGTTGATCTAGTTTCGGTTGACACGGTTGATGCAGGAACAGCCAAAGACAGGGCGGAGATCATTGATCTCGTGGAAAGCTGTGGTGGAATCCTAACTATTGAAGAAGTTTGCAGACGTGCATCTGGTATATCATGCCATATCTGCTTTTGCTACGCCCGGCCAAGCACAGCAGGCTTTCAATGGGAACCATTGCGATGTTTCCTCGATTCATGGCCGAATCCTCAGCTGGATCTTTCCAGTTCCATAGTTCCATAATGTTCCATATCTCTTGGGATTAACATCGTGGGATAGCTTTGAGGAGGTACCAACTTGGTGACGAAGTAGCAACGGGTCGGAGTTGAACATTTTTTTTTGAAATACAGTAGGCTGCTTCAGCAAGATGTCGTGCCAACTACATGAAAGTTAGAACGTGTTAGAACCATGACGCGCATGAACTCATGTTTTGATTCAGAAGCGTCATAGTGCGTCATAGACATAGATCAATCCACAAAATCACAAGGTAAAACGAACACCACTTCCAGGCAGGATGTAGACGGTGTTCAGAGGCGTTATACCGAGGAGCTGACGTTGGAATATGGTCCAATGGAAGGGCTGCTCCGTTTCTTGCCCTCCGTCTGGAGCCGAGTCTGAGCCCAGCCTCGGTATCCCATGGTATGTGCACCTTGGAGCCTTGGAGCGGCGCTGAGATTCCTGGATGCATGACCATGTTTACCTTCATCAACAAGTCCATTGCTTCTGGTTTGCAGGAGTGTGACAAGAGCTTCAAAAGCACGACAAATCTGTCCAATCGATGAAGGGCTTGCTTGGGCATTTTTTTGCGCACAGAAACAGACCAGGAGACCATGGTTACGGGTGAGGCGCAGGAAGCTTAGTCTTGGGAACCTTGACTCAGCAAAGCTGTGATTGCTTTGCATTGGCAGAATTTATTGAGGTCTTACATCGCGACAGGTCGACCAAATGCTGCTTCTCTCAATTCATTTCAATTCATTTTTTCAAAAACATGTTTTTTTTTTCAAGGAACATTTGATCACCTTTTGGACATTATTCTATGACAACATTTGCATATATGTATGTATATACGTAATATATAGCTCGAGAACAACCATGAACAGCGTGAGTGCCAGGCCAATACCCACTACAGCTGGAAGGAATGCTATTTCATTCACTGCCTGGCGCCGAGGTTTGCCAAATGTACTGAATGTACTGAAGCCTGAAGGTAAGCGAGATGTTGCGCACCGATAGTCTTCCGTGGAAATCATATGAATGGATATGAATGGCATGATCAGCCTCATAACATGAATGGCATGGCTTTACACCGTCACACAGTGGAAGGATGTCTACAGCTTGCGCGGCCTTGTGAATATCTTAGGTGCATCGCACTACTATCCAGCCTTGAGGATCTATATCTGCGACTTGGATGCAGCAACCGGTACTTCGACAATGCAAAACATAGGATTTTTTGGTACCTTTGTTGCAGAATTGCAATTCTAGACTTGGCCATAAACGACGCGACAGTCTCAAGACCCTGTGTGGATCTGTGTGGCTGAGGCTACTTCGTCTACGAGCTTGTGTCCCAGGCTTCAACGACCTTGTTCTCTCAGATCTTTTGGAATCGAACAGAGTCGAAGGAAATCACGGAGGTTTCAATCTTCTGCAGGCGATGGGATTTTCGACGCTGCCAATGATGGTATTGCTGGCTTCTGCAACAATGTGGCTGCTTTGCAGCAAGGAGAGTGCAAACGTGGAATCCGAGAATTCTTTCAAGCTTGTTAACAGAAAAGTGGCCCAAGTGGCTGCACTCGGAGAGGATGAGACTCCAAGCGACAGCGAGCTTCGACGATTTGACAGATTTCACTTGACACACTGTATATGTGGGCAAGGTTGGTTGCACCACTGCTGTTTTGTCCGCAGCCAACCTTGTGGGGAGCCAAGGTGAACCAAGACCAGCGTGCTTTTGAGTATTGTTTTTAATCTAAATTTAAAGATGCATTTGTCAGCCATTTGTTGCCACTTGTTGCCATTTGTTGCTTGAATCTCCATGAGCCATGGGGCTTCCCAAGCGCTTAGCGTTTGACGATGTTTGACGACTTTGGTGCTTTTGTATTTGTATAATTTTCTGTATGCCGTCCAAGGAGATCGCTAGGCCCACGCCTGGGTGTGGGTGCTTCGTGCTAATAGCACCAGGGAGGAGATGGACAATGAATGAAAATAATATATATATATATATATTATATAATATACAGATACTTTAGACCTTTAGATCTTTGTAATCACTGCAAATGTAATCTCAGAAGATTAGCTCAGTGTTGCAGACTTGAAACACCTTGAGCTCAACAGCTCAACTCACCATTCTCAGGCCGAGATGTGAGGGAATTTTGGGAGTTTGTCATTGCAACGCGGCCGATGTTTGTGCGATACTTGGCTATGGGTCACTCCCAGATCCTTGACTTGTCTACCCGAAGATTGGAGTCTGTTTGGATGTGGGTCGCGAGGCCTCCACTCATGAGATGAAAGCCATGGAGGCCCCCAGACTCCGAAGGCATTTTGTGAATTTGGCGATGTATCTAGCACTCTGGTGGAAAGACATGCCTTCAACCTAGGATGTTTTCATTCGTAACGAGCTTTTCTTCAGCTCGTTGATAATCTAAGTAGCTGGCCCGCTTGCCAGGACCTGCTGCGAACTGGTTTACGTGATCCTCGTTCGTCTCTCTATGAGTTTGGAACTTGATCAACAACGTGTGTTTGGAGTATCAACTTTGTGCATGCCCGGTGTTCCGTTTGCTTGCATGCTTTCTGATCTTTCTGGGGAAAGCCAGTCCAACTTCTGTAGCAGTCATCCAGAAGTCCGGCCATGCGCTCTCCAAGGTTTTGGCTGTTGAGAGCCTTGGACCACAAGAAGTTTTCCTGCTTTCAGCGAGCTATGAGCTCAGACACCAAGTGTGCCCTGTGCATCTGTGCAGTGCTGTGCATGTCGCTTGTCGCATTACTCTGATTCCACTGGAGAGTTGCTTGTGAAAAGCTGCAGACAGAAACTCATGGAAGGGAACACTCCTCATGCCAGAGAACTGAGTGTGCAACTGGAGAGTCGAAGGTGTGCTTCTTGATGTGTGAAGTATTGAGTCCCTTGGACGCAATACATCGGCACATAATCGTTTCCCTACTGTCTTGACTGATTCTCTCTGCCGCGCGTTGGGTACTTGAATGGCCAGACACTGTAGTGAGCTATAGTGTATCTTTCATCCTGATTCATTCGCACTGGATTTTCATAGTTTACTTTAATCAAATATATGTGTACAGTATGCGGAGATGAGTGGACTCATAGCAAGCTTGAAATACAGTACCAGCAGCTCAGCAGTGAGCTTCAAGCTGAGGTCTTCTCTTTGTGCTCGCAGTTGTGCCCAGTATCTCTGCCATAGTTGGCTGTGGACAGCTGTGGAGTCATGCAGCTGCCCTGAATCCGCACTGAATTGCCATTTCTGTTAATCCAATGGCAGGTTCTTTGTTTGACTACTACTTCATTGTGGCTGCGGTACAAGAGACAGTGACTTCTTGGGTTAGCATCTGGCATCGAGTTTGAACCAATGAGATTTACCCACTGTAAGATGCTTTCAAGGAACCTCCACTAGTCAAAACTAGTCAAAGTGCTGTAATGTGCGTGAGAGTGATGGTCGTGGCAGCTACTCTGATGACTCTTGGATCTGTTGCATCCTTGGACTCCTTGGACCCAGGTGTTGCTCTACGGCTTGCACTACTTACTCATGGAGGTTTGGCGATTGCTCGGTCGGCCAACAGTAGGGACCTCGCTCTGACCACATTGAACGCAAGTAGAGCAATAGATAGTACAGTAATGTACAGTAAATACCTTTACCTGGAGAAACATCATTATGAAAGCACTGGTCTATTCTGACACTCCACCAAATCTTGCTCTAATCATGGAAAGCCAATGGAAAGCTTTGTTAGTGTTTGTTTTCACCTGTGTGTTTGTATAATTGCTGTCTTGATGCACGTAGATTTGATCGTTATTTGCGTTTGCATGAGAACTCAGGTGATCACATTGCTGACAACATTGATGTGGCTAGTGGCGTGCGGGTCTTAGTCCATGCAGAGACCTTCTTCAAAGATCTTCAAAGTTGTTTGTGCCATTCCCCATCCACTCAGGCCCGTGATAACAAGGGTACCCATGTTGGATATGCCTGCTGCTCAGTGGCTCAGTGCTATGCTGCGAGAGGTTGCATCCCAAGAGCCATCTTTTGTTTTTTCTTGGCTACAAAGGATGAACGATGATCAAAGATGAAAGAAATAAGTTTTCAAAAGCCAGTCTTTGCTTTTCCCCTGGCTGAAGTTTAGAACACAGTCGGGCAATGTCGAGCATGTGAGGTTGACGCTTCTGCTGAGTACCTTACTGGCCCTGAAGGCTTGGAATTGCACATAAGTCAGGTATAAGTCAGGTAAACACGGTGAACACGGTGAACACTCAAGGCATCCCAAGGGTGGGTTAATTGCTTCCCAGGTGAAACATAGTGAAACATGGTGAACCATGGTGAAACATGGTGTAACTATGGATACTTACGGCAATATACAGTAGGAGAATACGAATCAAGAGCACAGGGGATGCGACCCTCCGTGTTCGTCATTTCTAAATATTCAGGTTATCAACCTCCACCACATACTGATTATACTGGCCTCGCAAAAATGCAAACAACGACTCAATGGTTCAGTGTTGAACGTATGCCCATACACACACACACAAACAGAACAGGGATCAAAAGGGCACGTTAAGGCCAACATCGAGCCCATCATTTTCAGCGAATCCTACGTTTAGCCTATCATGAGACAGTAAGCTCGCCAGATTATGGCAGTGTTGACAGTGCCTAGTACAGACTGGCTCAGCTGAAGTACGCAGATAGGCGAACCTATATCGGCGCAATCTTTACCAAATAAGTGCTCTCTTGATGAGAAAACTCGTAGAGCCATCAGAAACCAATATTGACTGTGCCCATGTGATTAGTGAAATCTCTGCGATCTCTGCGTCGGTACAAGATGGTACAAGTATGTTTTTACCTCTTAGATTCTATTCAGGCCCTATTTGCTCTCTTTTGAATCCAATTCATATTGTGACAGTTCCACACGGCAACATCGACGGAGGTCATCAGATCTGTTGTCCTTCTTGTCTGCTGGCTTTCGTCCATCACTTAGACCGAACGGCCAAGAGCTCTTGATGGGGAGGACCCAGATCGCAGAAATAGATCCAAATTGAATAGTTCAGTCAGTGGCAGCCCAGCCATGGTGCAAACAGACTCAGTCCATGCAGCTTTGCACATTGAAGGCTTAGTCCGAATCTGTACTGGAAGCAAATGGCAGAAAGGACCGAGACGGACCGAAGCGCAAAGAAGGCACCAATGGATACCAATGGATCATTTGCCTTTCCTCACATTTCTAGAAGCTACTCTGTGGCAGTTTTACTCAGAAAAATCAAAGGTCTCTTGAAACTGAGGAGCCACAACTTGTCAGTTCGGAGGTTTGCCATTTTGGGATTTTAGCATTTTGATATATTGCTCTCCCTTCTGGTCCAGGCAGCCGCAATGAAGATGCGCGCATATGACAAAGTGGTTGAATACCTGTGCGCCGCTGCGCCTGTGGTAAGTTTCTTTCGCTTGCAAGTTGTATGGTCGAGCCTACACAAAACTAGGAATAGTCAACTGCCTCTCCAATGCTCATCCAAACATTCAGACGTAGATAGGGAAGCACACAAAGAGATGGAACTTCATTCTGATGTATATATTCTGCTTTGCTATCTTTGCTTGAGAGTTTCATACCGGACTGGTACTTTGCCATGCTCTTGAGACATCTTGAGACGTATTCAGGTACGTCAACCTGATGGGCCATCAGTCCTGACCCAAGTGGTTAGTCAGTTTTTTCCGGTACAAGGCAACGTCTTTGACGAACCAAGTAGGGAAGACCGGGAAGACCTAGACATTTTACCAGTGAAATCGTTCACCAGCGTCATTTTCTTCCAGCAAGGCTTCATTTGTACGCTGCTGGGGCAATCCTGATTGTGAGTTTCGTGGTTTCCTCAGACATTAAACCTGCTTACAAATGCAAATAGTTAAGTCTTGTTGCTGCCAAGTTGTTTCTAAGTCTGGAACATGCTGTGATTATTTGCAAAACTGCCTAGACTTTGTGCTCAGACATGGATAGTCACAACACGACAAGACGTTCCTCAGTTTGTTTGCTCCAAACTAGCAACAATGGGAACAAAGCTCTGATACTTGCAAAACTTAAAATACTCCTGCAATAGGCCTTTTATTCCAAGCTCCTAGCCCATGCAGTTACAACCCACCTACGGGCGAAGTCAGTTCAGCACTTGGCAGCCATGCACGGCCGTGTGAAGAAGGACATTGTGGAACCTACACCAGAAGAGAAAGCCAAGCAGCGAGAACAAGTTCGCACCGCGCGGAGTCTCTTTGCTAAGCTCTTGGACTTGCGGAAAAGTCAGACCTACAACGATCAAGCTTTGGAAATGACCTCCAAGGCTCTTCAGTTCCATCCTGAGTTCCCAACGCTGTGGGGATACAGACGTGAACTTCTCACAAGCACAGGCAGCACAGAGAAACCATTGCAGGAATTGTTAAAGATGGAAATGAAGCTGCTGGAGAAAGCCTTGAGAAAATCGCAAAAGGTTTACTCCATTTGGTTTCACCGCAAATGGGTCGTGGAACGCTTGTTCCAGGAGATGAACGCAGATGAAGAGGCAATCAGAAACCTTTTAAGCACTGAATTAGATTTGTGCAATCAACTTTTGGCGGTCGATGAGCGGAATTTTCACTGTTGGAATCATCGCATGAACTTGATGGATTTGATGAGGACTTGGGGGAAGGACAAGTCAAATTCCATGGACTTGAATGCCATCGATTTGAAACTGAGCACAGATTTGATAAATCAAAACTTTTCGAACTATTCTGCTTGGCATTTGAGAACCCTGCTTCAGCAGCCACTTGCGGGAGAAGAGCCACGCATGAAATTGAATGTTGAAGAAGAGCTAGAATGGGTTCAGCAAGGCATCTATACTGAACCCAATGATCAGTCTGTCTGGCTCTACCACCAGTGGCTAACACTTGAACATTCTCAGTTGCCCCGCATCACACATTGTGCTATTCTGGATGGAGAGTTTTTCATCTTCTTTTCGAGACCTGTGTGTGCGTCTGTGGCAACTGTTGGCACTGTGAGGGGCTGCTTGGAGGCGATTCCTAGGAGTGCACTGAAGCGAACTCGTCCCCGCAGTGTACGTCGCAGCTGGTCTGTGGGATGGCGATTTCTTCCGGAGACCGAGGCCAAATTCAGAGATGAAGTGCAAATCACTGTGACCTTGGAGAGCTGCGGCACTGGTCTGAAGCAGTCGACGTCAGTCTTCAATGGTCAACCTTTTGATTTGGACACAGAAATGTCATCAAACCAGGAACTCAAATGCGAATTATCGGAGGAGAAAAAAGAGATCCTGAAGTCTGAGTTGATGCGAATCGATGAGCTTCTGGAAATTGAACCAGACTGCAGATGGGCCTTGCTTGCTCGCATGCGCCTGCAGCTTGCATCCTCGCCACCTGAAGAAGCAACCCTGTCAAGTTGCCTGTCAAGCCTTGAACGGATGAGCAGCTTGGATCCTTTACGCAGAAATTTCTATGCTGATTCAAAGGCAGATGCTCTGATGATGCAATCCCTGACCATGTGGAGTGGACAAGGTCGCAAGGGAGATCTGAAACTGGTTGGACTGGGTCTGAAGAAAATCTCACCAACTGCTGCAGCCTTTGCTTTCGGTGTCCGTATTTTAAGGCTTGACGAGAATGAGCTGCATGAATTTGGCCCCTTGCTTGGGTTGTTGAGCTTGATAGAACTTTCGGTTTCCAAAAATCAGATCCGCGGTGATGTTGCAGAAATCTTTGCCTTGAAGCGACTACAATACGTAGACTTAAGTTGGAATTATTTGTCGGCAAATTTGGGATGTTGGAACCCACCAGAGAAGCTTCAGAAAATAGACCTCTCTGGAAATACGAATGTAACTGAGCTGGGACATGAAAAGCTCTCACAGCTTTTTCCAACGGCTTGGAAGCTCCAATTCGGAGAAGGAAAGTGCCTCGCCCACAAATGAAGGACAGGGGCTCGGCAGCTTGACGGCTTGGCGGCTTAGCCAGCTTGGCATCAAAAATGATTGGATGCTGGACCACTGTCCTGCATGGAAGTTGACAATGCTGAGAATGCTAGGCTTGGCACTAGAAATTGGGCATGAGTCACATGAGGTTGGCATTTTGCACATTTTTTGCATATTTTTTTGCATATTTTTGGCATATTTTTGGCATGATGCCACTGTAATGCCACTTTGATTTTGCAAAGCCTTGTGAGGTGGTGCAATTTGTTTTGGTTGTGTTGGACAGTTTCTATGGCCTGCATTCGTGGGCCCTGTTGCTGGGAACCCCAGATCCCAGACTCAACCTGCACCGTGCCACCCACTGTCTTGGCATTGCTATCAAATCAAATCTATCAACATGCAATTTTTTTTGACCCATTTCTTGGTAATCCTGATCCTTAGTCGCAAGAAGCTGGCTGCACTCAGGAACCCACGACTGCGAAGCAGATCCTGCTGCCAGCGTCGGCGTGGTTTCCAGCCTCATGCTTAGGAATCTTAGGAATTGCGAAATGAATGGATGCCAAGCGGATTAGTGGCTTAGTGATCTTAGTGAAACATGGCAGAAGCTGCCGAAGGCCTAGAGATAGACACATGTCATGCCATGGCCTTGCTCAGCACATTGTCCTGCTTTGACCTTTGTTACAGTCAAGAGACACCTTCGATCTCTGCGCACAGTGCACACTTCAACTCTGAGGCCCTAAATGTTCTGAGAACTGTGTGTTAACGACGGAGTGGGAGACCACCGGAAGACCTGAGCCAAGTGCAAACCAATGGGTTGTATGCAATTGGCGGATAGATTGATTCATTGATTGCTTCGTGATTTGTTCTGCTGATTGGGGTGAAGTAGGCAAACTTGATGTGTGCTCATTGGGTAGTGTGGGATTTCGTCTGCTGCTTTTTTCACACCCTTTCAGCAGGATCTTTGAAGATAGCTCCTCAGAAGAGCAAGCACTTCTGCGATGGAGAAAGGGTGTGCTGCATTTGCACAAGAGTCATCAGTCTCATTGTGGTATTCCCAGTTGGAGGCCAATGACACGAATGCAGTCAGATATCCCAATGACATTGATGCTGCACAATCTTGTACAGAAGATTGTCTTGCACCACTTTGGAGCAACAACCAATCTTCTCCTTTGATAAAATGTCATGAGATCTGTTTGCCATGCAATTCTGGGCTTTTCCTGTGTTCTTTTGTGGACACGTCCATACTGTAGCTGTAGCTGTTATGAAAATTGCTGGGCACGAGCTCCTCAACATGAGGCCTAGAAATGGACGGCAAGAGTATGCTGTAGCTTTGCGCGAAGCGATTTGATTGCAATCTCTGGTGCGCATGCTTTTTCCAGATATTGAGCCCCTCAAGATTCAAGATTGAATGATTGAAACTAGTATATTCAACAGTCTTTTAGGCTTCCTTTTGCAAGGTGCATGACAATGGATTCGCAAAGCAACGTCAACATCTACAATGAATCACTGGTGTAAAATTGTTTGTAATCTCATGGTGAGTGCTGATGCGGGCGTTTTACCCATCTGCACCCAAGGCGCGGAGTTGAGTACCATCGAGTACCCCAATACTCTGCAGATCCCCATATTCTGATCCCTATGGTGCCAGTTTGGTTGCCCCAGGAATCTGGAGCATCACCCATAGGGATGTGGCAAGTTAGGGTACCTTGTAATTTCATCAAGTTGCCTTTCGGATGGCAACCCCATGCATTGATGAACAGGCTGACATCGCAACATGGCTTCGGCCAAAGGGGCCGATCTTCAAGGGTGATGCGGAGGCTGTCGAGGAGAGAAAACTGCCTTGGTTGAGTCAGCCTAGACATGTGCAAAGTATCGTAATCTGGACTCCTTGACCATGATTAGACATGTGGTGTTTGTGGATCCCATTGACATCCATTGACACTTGGTAAAACATGTAACACTCCTCAAGACACAGCTCTTGGAACGAATTGGGACTGCTACGCCCCTCCTCGCACCTTCGCTCCATTCGTTCTCGACCGTAGGAGCTCTTTGCAGCACGGCGGGCACCAAACTCGGGACTCACGTCACAACTGTCACGGGTTTGACTCTTGAGGAAATAGCCAGATCCAAACAGAATCACACCGACATACAGACCACAGATCTACTTGGTGACTTAGTGAAGAGTGCATGAGCGTGAGTGTATTGAAATGTATTGAAGCAGATTGAGTTTTTTTGGTGAGATTCCATGGAATTTCCATGGAATTTCCATGGAATTTCCATGGAAGCCTTGTGAGGTGAGTTTGACTCCGCAAAGCAACGCTCATGCACCCACAATCACCAGGCCAGTGGAGGCGCAACGTTTGGAGTAGAGAAAAGGATCAAAATGAATTTGCCCCTTAGATCCCCTTGCTTAGCTAAGACAAAACATTTGTAGATTGGGAATATTGGGAATATTTGGGTGTAGTCATGAAGGGTTTTCCTGTAGAAGATTGGAACAAGGAAGTCGTACATCTTGTACATTAATGTGAAAGTCAGGTGGAAGGCCAGAACGACAATATGTGTGCGCAAGCACTTGGCTTTGTTTCACCTATTGGGTTCCCTGAATTTAAGTTCTTAAATTAAATGGTACCGCACGAGCTTGCAGGTAGCAGCGATCGCAGCACCGCAAATGCGGTCCTCGCCGCATAGTTCTCAGTTGAAGACACATCAGAACTACGAACCATTCAATCGAAACCCCAAGTAACATATCATAAGGCCTATCCAGTCGGCTGAAAGATTTTGTGAACTTGTGCCTGATTGGAGATGGTGTGTTTCAGACATCAGAAACCTTTGGTTGCTCCTGCAAGTTTGCTTTCAATTGCAGGATTTTCTTGAAGTTTCTTTTTTGTTGATAGCATTTGGAGAAAGCCGGAGAATGCTGAACGAACAAAACACACAAAACAAACACCATTAATTAATTAGATTCAGCTGCCAAGGTCCGCTCCACTGCTGCTGAATGCCGCTTCGCCTGGTGTGTGTGGGGCTCAGGGCCTGTTGCCTGCAGGATTCGCAGGGATCAGTACACTCACTACACACAAAAGCATAAAGAGATATAAAGGTACCAGGTACGGTATATAAAGTTTATAAAGATTACATGCAGGACATGTACTGTAAAGACATGTATATATATATATTATATGATTGATCTAAAGGTCCTTGTAAGGAGTTTTAATTGCGAAAGCCGTGCATGTTATGTTGGAAACCCTCGCGAAAGTTTTTTTTCAAGTTCGCGAAAGTAAAATTTTATTTCGCGAAAGTTTCGCGAAAGTTGGGTATTATAATCATTATGTAAAGGGCTGCCACCCACTGCCGCCCGGGGTCCGGCAGGAGAAGGGCACCAGAAAATGCGAGTAGCAGTAGCCAAGTTTCCAAAAGTGAGGCTTTGCGAGAGCCAAACACCAAGGCCCCTGGTCTTCGCTGTTCCTTCAGTGCACCCCCTGCTGATGGCAGGGGTCTGTGAATAGGGATATTTTCGCGAAAGTTCCGCGAAAGTTATGCGAAAGAGCGGGCGAAAGTCAAAGTGCATGTTGAAGGGGGTGGGCCAGTATACTCAGTAAACTTTGCAAAAAAAGTCTGTCCTGAGAAGGGACTCCGTGATGCTAGCTGCATGTTTAAAAGGCTACCAAGAAGTGATCCGTGATTCTCTGGCGTAATTTGGCAGGTGGTGAACGAATCTTCATAAGAGGTGTTGTTGGCCAACATGGGCCCCGCGAAAGATAAACATGGAGTTCGCGAAAGTTTCGCGAAAGTAAATTTTTTATTCGCGAAGAATGGCCGTTCCGGGATAAAGGAATTTTGATCAACAACCATATATATAGCCACATGTGAAAACATGTACAGGTGTGCAAAGATGTGTAAAGACAGCAACGTCATATGTAAACACACGTAAAACAATGTTAATTTGAAGTTTGTAGAGTTTGGCTCAAGTGAACGTTGTGTTGGTTCCTGTATCATACCAGCGTTCAATTCTATACCATTTTGGCAAACATCCAGCCGACCCTTCGCTCCAGCACAAAAGGCCTGGACCTGCTTTTCACTTCGCTGGGAGCTCAAGCTTTGTATAACTGTCTATTCAGAATAATGACCACGTGCTGGCCTTCAGAGCAATCCCGTTTGTTGGAATTGTAAACTTGTACTCATGATTGCTCATGCATATAGGACAGCAAAGGCATAGGAGTGTAACAAGTGTATGACATGTCAATTGTGACTTTGATGTTTTCAATATCAAACATGCCTGCATGCCTACACAGACGAGATTTAAAGAAATGCCACTTTCCAATACCAAAGATGAATCAAGAAAGCTAGCATGAACATGGTGTCCAGCCTGCAGCAACCCGAGATCCATTTCTATTTCCAGCACCCACCAGCATCAAGTACCTATCGCAAAAGACCGACAAATCACAACAAGCCCTTGAAACACCATGGTACAACGGCAAACTTCACAGGTGCAAGCGCCGCGTGACTTGACTCCAAGCCCACAGGCGGCTGTCAGGGCACAAGCACAAAAGGTATATGCAGCATGTTGGACATTCTAAGTAATACCTCTTGCCTGCCAAGAGAAACATCTTCTCAATCATAGGAAGGTGTCTGAATTATTTTCTGATCACTGTTCTATGGCATTATGTTCGATTCTATGCGGCCTATGCGTTTCTATAAGTTCTGTTGTTCCATTTTGCATCGCAGGTTGCTGGGTTTGAGCATGCGCCGCTTCTGAGAGGCTCATTGCAGACATGAGTGAACCACTGAATCCGAGGGCAGGGATGGCATTGAGATGTTGTTAAAATGGTAACGTAGCTTGATATTGGGAGAATTTGGGAGATATTGTCCGCCACGGAGGCCGACCGAAAAATCTCCTGTAGCTGCTGTAGCTGATGCCGCTTTCCATGTCTCTGGTTTGTTGGCCACAGGTGCTCCGCAACCCATGGCACCGCAGCTTGATACCTAGATTTAGAGTTCCAAGTACAAATCGACGCAGAAAAACCATTCACTAACCATTCACCCAACAATTCACCCAAACTTCACCCGAAAGGGAAACACAACACGCGGATGTTGATTGTCCCGCCATTTCCCACCTTGGTTCCGAGGCATACAAT